AACCAAGAGAGATTATGTAAAGGTGCAAATTTCCAATGATGAATGTCATTATATTGTACACCTAAAATGTACCAATAAAAATATTTTAAAAAATAAATAGAAAAATAAAACCAGAAACAAAACAAAACAATAAAGTTGAGAATTTAGACAGAAAAAAAAAAAGAAATAGGGTAGTAGTAAACAATGTGCAATAATTGTTTCACTGTGTGACATTTGCTTGCCTTTTGGTGATAAAGTTTTGACTCATTTCACTAATATTGTTGAATATGTTTGCTTAATATGTTTATAATCCTGAGCCAAGCTTTCATTATTGTTCAGTTAAATAAATATTACATTTTGGGGGGCCGAGGAAAGAGAATCACAAGTTTGAGCTCAACCTGGGGCAACTTAGTGACTTAGCGAGACTCTGTCTCAAAAAAAAAAAAAAGAAAAAAAGCCTGGGAGTGTAGCTCAGTGCAAAGGCCCTGGGTTCAATCACGAGTACGACACACGCACACACACACACACACACACAAGTTCCTGCACTGGGCTCCAAAGGACATGACTAAAAATGAAATGGAGTCACCCATGTTAAAGTTGCATGTCACCAAACTGAAATTAAGTACAGCCAAACTTCCCAAACAGACCAGCTTCAATTGGCACAATAATGAAGTTTCCTCTGCCAGTAATTCCTACGAAAAAAAGGTAACCTGAAGTAACCTTTGTTAAGCAATCATTATTTTTCTACAGTTCTGTCTCTCTGTCCTTGCCTTACAAGGAAACCCCTTAGAAATGATCAATCTGCATTCCATTCTTTGTTTCTGCTCATTCATTTTTTTGGCACCAGAGATCGAACTCATGACCTTATGCTTTTGAGGCAGGCAGCAGCACCACTGACGTAAATCCCATCCCGTTTCTGCTTATTCTAACTCTTCCATGTCTGTACAACCAGCCTCTCCTGCTTGCCCCCCCACCCCTACCCCAACTCTGGCTGGGTCTGAGAAGGTCCCCGAGGCTGAAATAAGGAAACTAATCCACCCTTTTGTAAAGTAAATTTGTAGGTTCGATGAATCCTGTTATGAAAAAAGAATTTTCAGGAAACATCAGTAAGACGTATGGGAAGGATTTACTAGGCAGTGGTTTTAGGACATATTCAGGAGTGGAGTTTGGGAGCACGGAGATAGGAGACACCTTATTTCCTGGAAAAGGAAAAAATTGTGCTTCTCTTGCATGGGTGGAACCCTGGAGAAGGTGGCCCCCCAAAGGGTAGTGGCCTATTCTACAACTAAGAGCCATTTTTTTCTTTAAATGGGTAATTTAAACATTCTTTGGGTTATCTTAGGATCAGGATCCTGCTCTTTACTGAGGCTAATTTATGGACTTTCAGTATTCCGGGGAGTTTTGTGTGTGATGGGTCTGATAGAAAGGGAGCCTAAATTGAAGCAGAAGAATGCTGATAGGGGTCACCTTGGGTAACTTCACCTGGGCCCTGCAGTCTTCTTAAAAGTACAATGTTTAGTTATGATTTCTTTGTCACCTTTCTATCTTTTATTTCTTCTACCCTAACACAGGTCTATTGGTACACTCATTCTATTTTTATGGAATGAAAGTTACCCGACTCCAGAATCAGAACTAAAGCCAATTAAAATCTTTAAATCGAATTGTTCGACTTTTGTCCTTTGACAATCTAAAATAAGCACTGTGGTACAGACAGAACACATTGGTTTTGACCCCTGGAAATTTAGGGTATAGAAGAGAGAAAATATATAAGTGCAACAATCCTAAAAGACGTCTCAAAGCAGTCCTGTGCATGACTCAGAGCTAAATGAATTAGAAGCAGAGTAGTCTGGGTCAAGCTCTGCCACTAAGTAGGTATATGATGTTGAGGAAATCCCTCTCATTTTCTGAAGGAGCTATTTTCTTCATATTTAAAGTGAGAGGGACCTAGGTGTTATAGGTCAGGAGTAGAGCACTGGCCTACCACGCATGGGTTTTACCCCCAGCATAAAAAATAAAAAATAATGAAATAAAATGCTGGACTATTATCTCAAAAAGCCTGGAGGATTATAGACCCTCTATAAAGCAATGTCTAATAACAGAGACAGTTAGATCCAGCAGAGCAGTCAATGGGAGCAGGAATACCTGGGTTGCCTACCAATCCCTGGGCTATTACCACCTACTCACTGTCTTTTCTTAGGTTAGGATTAACTCCACTCCCAGAAACAAGTTGTTCTGTATGCATCGTCAGAATCACTTTTCTCTTGTCAAAGTGAGTAGTTTGGATCTCAAATTGAAGCAAATCTAACTTCTAAGATGATTTTACCATTAAGATTTGGATGAAGGGTCAGCCAGTCAGAACCGAGCATGGGGCTTCTGCTGGAAACAGTGGCCCATAGCTGCAGTCTCTCCTGGGTAGTAGGAAAGCCTGGAAATGGTGTTGCCGTTGACAAGAGGAGCCAGGTAGGTACTGGCAGAGAGCTGAGCCAAGATGCTGGTGGGAAAACAGAGCCAGAGCTAGGGTCAAACCACATAGAAGCCAACACATTCACATAGCTGATCCTTGAAGGATAAACTATGCTTTGGACAGGAAAGAGGTGAAGGAAGAATAATAAAACAATGGAATCTAGAAATGATGTGCCATGTTTCAATAATGTCTCTTGCTAATTGTTTTACATCTGTTTCACTTTGCTTGGCTGAAAAAATTTGTATTCACTTAATATGGAATATCTGCAGTATGTTAGTACTGATTCTATGTAAGAGCCTGTGCAAGCCTGGGTTTGGTTTCCAGGCACACCATGTTCCTGTTCTCACAGAGCATACACCCAAGCAGAGAGGCTAGAAGGTAACCCACCAATCCCAGTCAAGGAGGGAAGATGCTTTCCTCCACCCCAGGGTCTGCTGAAGGGAATAAGAGTGTGGAATTACCATCCATAACCATATAGATAAGGAGACTAAAGTATGTGAGCAAAAATATCCTTTGAGAGTTAATTGTTATTATAACTGATAAGCCAGAGAGATAATGCTTTGCCCTTCTTTTATGCATTCCTTTAAGGATTACCCGAGATCACGAAAATGCGGCAGCAGTACAAGCTGCAATTTTACCTAGGTCTGTCGGGTTTCAAGACCTGATTCTCAAATCTCACGTCTTAAATGTAATTTGTGACCAGCAGTGGCAACAGAATCCAGGAGCAGGAGTGGCTACATAATTTGTGTGATCCAGGGTAATTGGCATCTTGTTCAAAGCAGGGGGAAAGTACCACCCAAAATACTGAAATAATAGGATTTTCTTTTCCACAACCTTTCAGCTTGTCATGGTTTTCCCTACTTACTATTTAATGTCATTCTAAATAAAGAACATTTTAAATGACTAGGATGAATTTACCTTCATCCTTTTAACAATGTCAGAGTTTTTTTTTTAGCTTGGTTTATTTGTTGTTTTGTTTGTTTGCAGTGCTGGGGATCAAACTCATGCATGCTAGGCCAGTGTTCTACCACTGAGCTACACTCCCAGCCCCAAGCAATGCCAGTTTTAAATGCAAACTGTGAACTTTTAAATGGCAATGTGGAATCACTAAAATGACACAATTTGTATCTTGGAACTTGTACACACCTATGTATTTTCTTCCTATAGGACAGTGAAAACAGTGAACAAAGCAAGTATGTATTTGACTAACAATCTCAACCTTTGTGTCTCCTGATGGATGAATAAGGAAGAACTGAAAGTAAAAGACACTTTCCCTTTCCTTCTATGTCATCATTTTTCAGCACAAGTGGCTGGCTAATATAGGGAAGTAACTCAGAAGGGACACATCAGGATTCCTTGGTCACTCACATTTCTTAGAACACCATGCTAAACTCAGCAGACTGTGTTCACATAGGACACTTCAAACACTGTATGGAATGGGGTTGGCGAACTCATACTACACAGCATGACCCCTTGAATCTTGTGCTGGCTGTCTTGTCCCATCAGACTTTATTTACAAACACAAGTTCAAATTTAAAATCTCAGGCTGAGGGTATAGCTCAATGGTAGAGCATGTGCTTAGCATGTCTAGGGTTCTCAGTTCAATCCCCAGCAACCATAAAAACAACAAAGAATTTCAAGAAGATAGCAGTAAGCCAAGCTCAGGGCCCTTTGATGACTGCAAAAGTTGCAGTCCATGAAACTAGGTCTGCCCAGGAACTTTATTAGATGCAGATTCTCAGCCTTCCCCACCCCATGCTAAATGATAATCTGCATTTAGCAAGATCTCCAGGTCAGTCGTTTATGGGTGCACTGAAATTTGGGAAACTCCAGTCTGTATAGACCCCTGAAGACCCATCTCCCAGACTAGATGCCCACCCTACTCTCTGGTAGACCAATGAAAGTGGCTTCTCTGGTCTGCCCCACCCCCTCTCTTCCCTCTTTTGGGCCCTCCCTGCCGCTCCCTAGGATGTTACAAACCAGACTGCCAGCTGGCTTTTCTGAAGCCCTATTTATGAGGCTTTGTTTAGGCCTCAGGTTTCATCTACCTTCCATCCATCCCAGACCTTCGTATATTCACAAATCTCTGTGGCAAGAGAAAAACCACACACACACACACACACACACACACACAAACACACACACACACACACACACAAATCCAATAGCAGCTTTTATTAAAAGGCAGATTGTAAGGGCTGGCCAGAGGCAGAGCACTCCAAAAGATGAAAGATTTGTTAACTTACATGTCATAGCAGAGATCCCTTTATTACTGAGAGTTCACAAAGGAGACTTATTTCCCACCTCTATTGGTTAATTGATTCCATTTATTTCCCTACTTTTGCTAGCTTTAAAATTTTCCAAAGTGGATAATGATTCACTATTCTCTTTTACTTTTGTTTGAAATTTTTATGATAAAAAGTTAGAAAAACAACACTACCAATTTTTAAAATAGGAAAAAGAGGAAAGTAGAATATTTGAGTATCTTTGTCATTTAAAAAGTATCTAAGAATAATAGCTTGAGAAAATAAATCAAATCCAAATTAGAAACTTTTACCTTTGTTCCCCTTTCAACCTCACATCTCAGCTACAACACAACTGCCTTCAGCTTGTGAGCAAACCTTGCTGCGCCTTTATGTTGTAAGCCAGGATGGTCTTGCAAGATGTGGCTCCCTTCTTTTTCTGCAGATGTGAATTTTTTAAAAAGCAGAAGAGAAGGAGAAAGAGAAAAATGATGAGAAATGGGTTTTGAAAAGACACCTGTTGCTCCTTTCAGGAGATGGTCTTTTCCTCTTCATCCACAAACCACCAGGAAGGAGCCCTCCTAATAGCCAAGTGGGTCAAGAGCCACATCACTCCATAGCTGCTCAGAATCTGTCAATACCTTTCTGACCTATGGACACATCTCCATCTGAAGACCAAGCTTTCATGTCCCCTGAGCAGGACTGGAAATTGCAAACAGATAAGACAGCCTACAGTCGAGGGGTGAGGAAACATCTCAGAGGTAGCGGGGAACATGACCCAGACCTCCTGAAGGTCTTGAGCTTTCTTGCTGTTCTACACTTCTCTTATTCTTCCTCTACCTCCAACCAAGCCCAGAGGAACAAAGAAACAGCCCAGCAATTAGCTGCTTGGAATTGCATTTTTATTGCATTAGCTGAGTGCTGAAGTATTTCCTTATAAGCTGCCCTGGTTGAACAATGATTGCATTCTTTTTTAGATCACCAGCTCAGGACATTTGGTAGCATGAGTTCAATGACATTTTAAATTCATGGGAAACACAAAACTCCCTTTGTGGGCATTGGTTTCAGCTGCTGCCTCAGGTAACAAGAGTTGAGCTATGTTTTCTTTCTTTTCCTTTCCTTGTCCATTGGTTCTCTGGCCAAGGTGCTATCGAGTAGCCTGGTGACCTACAGGCCAAGGGAGAGAGGAGGAGAGGAAAAGCAAGCTAATTCACCTGATGGAGAGTGCGGCAGCTTCATCAGGAGGCAGCTGCATTTCCAAAGCCAGATCAACATCAGGTTCAAAAAGTTAAGGCCTACTTCTGCAGCCCAAGGCTTTGGGATCCAAATGGCATGAGCTGGAACAGGAGAGGGGAATTTTCACTTCCTCTCCTCCATTTCCTCAGAACCCAGATCTAAGCTGGAAATTCCTACTGTCTGTACTAAGAGGTCTTACAGTTAGCCTGGCTTTGTTCAAATCCTGTTTCTGGGGCTGGGGATGTAGCTCAGTAGTAGAGTGCTCTCTTAACAAGTGCCTGGTCCTGAATTCAATTCCAAGAGCCAGTAAGTAGGTAGTAATTAAGTAAATGACATTTAAAAATCCAACAAAACAAAATTCTACTACTGCTGTTGGGCAAATTACCAAGCGTCTCTGATTCTCAGTATCTTCATCTGTAAACTGGGGACAATATTATCACCCATCTTACTGACTTTCAGAGAGAAATCAATGAGAAAACGTATGCAATGGCCTGACAGCCCAGGGTGCATACAATTTAATAAGAAATAGTGGTAGTATTAGTCAGTAGTTATTTTATTTTATTTTTTTATTAAATTCTTTTATTGGTACATTGTAGGTATACAACATAATTATATTTCTCATTGGTAAAACTGTACCTTTACATAAGGCATCTTGGTTCTTATTTTTTCCCCATTCCTAGCCCTCCCTTCATGCCCTCCACCCTTCCCTATTTACAAAGACTTTATTTCCATTTTTTCCA